TAGTAGTAGTGGTAGTAGTAGTGATGACTTTCAAAGCTTCGGCTTGTAGCATCTCCAGTGGAAAGGTTTGGAGGCAAGCAAGCATGCTTAGAAGGGAGTTTGGAGTGGGTGAACTGGGTCTTGGCCAGTTTGGGGGCTTTGAAGCGGATTTGGGGTGGCACTTGGTCTCTGGAGCTGTTTGCCGAATAGCGTCTTCTCCTAGACTCGGTTTCGACGTTCAATTCTTGGCCGATTTGACGGATCCTGGTGCGCTTCTTCGGAGACGCCTGTTTGTTCCGGCAACGCTCCATTTGCACCGCATGCACGGAGATCGCCTCAACGGCATACCGTGAGAACGGAGGCAGATTTACTGTTGTGTGGACTACCCCGCCGGTCAACAATGTTTTTGACACGCTTCGACATCGGGGTACTCTTTTTCTGCTTACGAATTGATCGGATTTCTGATCCACCGGAACTCAAGTTCCGGTTCTCTCATCCAGACACACTTGCCCTTCTAGCACTATGTTCTGCCAGCAAGTCTTGCCTTCAACAGGTTGCTGCGTTCCTGCCGTACTGGTGGCAGTGGGTTTACAATGGCACCGAAGCGCGACGCTCTGTAGCAGGAAGGTGTTGGCTGGCGATCTATAGTGCAGTAACCGCTCATTGTGTGCCATTCGACACACTGTCGAAGGGTGCTAGCATCGAACTGCATTTCTCTGCCGTCACCAGCTTGCCTGTCGTTGAAGGATTTGTTACAGCTGACGTTGGGTTTTTGCAGCGACATGCTAAGATCGGTTTTCGAAGTTGAGAGGTATGTGAGCCGCGTGCGTGGTTGACTTCGTGGAGCATCACGCCTGTTTTTGCATACCTCTTTCCTGGTCCACGCCGATTGCCCTTGCGCAGTCGCATTGCCGCCTATGGACTTTGGATTTCTCAGTGTGTACAGCCACATGGAAACGAAGAGTTGGGGGCAGACCGCTGTCCGACGGGACTAGAGTGGCTGCCGGTTTCTTTGGATTTGGGGCACCTCCTTTCTTTCGGGTTTCAGGTTTCACCGTCTTCTTTGTTAGTTTTTGTCTGATCGGTGTTTAGCTTGGACGGAGCACGGCGAATGCCGTCATCGAGGCCGACCTGCACCAAAAAACACATTGTTTCTCAACTTTCACTTAAATGCTCGTGCCGCACTGTTCAAGGTATCTAGAAACACGTTCAAGCACATGCCACACAGCAAGCGTTTTCACCACCTTCTACGTTCTGACAGAGCATATGTGGCATTACTGTTAGTTCCTTTTTCGTGCGAGCCAGCGATTGCTGCTGAAATTCTTCAAAAAAGCCGTGCAAATGCACATACACAAATGAAAACACAAGATACATGAATTATTCTTGTTTATTTGTTCGTCAAAATGGAGCTCTGAAGGGTTTTAAACACGTGTTAGGAGCAAACACGTGTGAACTGTCATTAATTTTCAGTCTGGTTCGTTGTTTAAAACATTGTGCTGGCTTGTGTGGACTTGGCATCTCAAATGTTTTTTTTGGATCCGTTTCGGCACACAAGCTTGCAGTAGTTGTTCGGACCACACGTGACCAATATGATGCAATGCAACGCAGTGCGATGCTAGATGCGCCAAACGCGATGCGTGTCTGCGAAAGTGTAGTTGCACTGCAAAGCAGAAGCGCGTTCGCAGACTGCAGCAATGCTCCATTGCCCGTGGGGCGTCCTGCTTTGGCCGTTGCACAGTTTAGCAGGCTCAATGCTTGGCGTGTCAAGTCTACTGTGGAATGGCATGCTTGCTATTGCTAAGGATGTTTAATCCTGTTTAAATATACTATGTAGAACATGCAATAGTCGGAATACAGGTGCCATGCGCTCAAAATCTCTTCTCGAATGCGTGGCTCGCTGGACTCCGTGTCATTTGGAGTCCTTAGCAAATGGAACAGTGGCCGGGCAATACGAGAAGTTGGAAGGTGGCGCGTAGCAATAAAGCCTTGTCATGGTCACCGCTTCAGCGCTTTACACACTGGTAAATTTGCTTTTTGGTTGGCTTGTCTTTTATGTGCTTGCATGGAATCAAGTACAGTATTGTGGGATTGGGAAGTAAAAAACGTTACGCGGTAGGAACTGGAGTTCATTGAACAAGTTTTTTCTTATGCTCCTATTTTTAGAACTCCTAGCCGTCGCTTACTCCATTGTTAGCAAGTGTTGATGACCCATGTGCTTGCGTGGACAAAGTTGGATTTTTGCTCAAGCAGTGGGGCTCCTTCCAGTTGACAGTCTTGCACTGAACTGACGGCACGTTGCACTTAGTCTCTCCGGATTGTTGGTGCATTTCGGAAGAAAGCATGCATGTTTTTAAGCGTGCTGCTCAGTCTTCTCAGTCCCAACGGACAAGTATGTCCCGCTTGACAACACGGGTGCACAACTTTTGAAAGACGACACACAAAATTTGTTGAAACGTATTGTGGTCAGCTTAAGGCCGACTGCAGGCTGCCAACCTTAAGCGTGTGCTTGCAGAACTCTTTCGAGATGACAATCGATCGCGGCATTGTTGAGAAGCAGGTTAAGCGGCATCAATTCCACTCCATCAGATCGGTGTGCATTGGGCAGCACTCATAAGATGGTTTCAACAAGGGTTTCAGCTTTCAGCTTCAGCGCGATTATGAGTCCGACTTCATTTTAAGCGGAGCCTTGGCTGCACAATCGACGTGGGGGAATATAAGGTTATTCGTCTGTACTTTCTTTTGCTGCACCTCTTGCTATATTGGGCGGTCCAAACGAACCACCGTTCAGTTCGAATACTGTGGTAGGGGTCGATCCTGTCCCCAGCGTTCGTTTGCCGGAAACGATATGCAAAGTGTTGTAACACTGTTTTAAACAAGTGCTTTAAGTACGAAGTTCACCAGAGAAGGGTTGCATTCCGGCGGCAACCGAAGTGGGAGGATGCATATTTCGCATGTGCTATGAAAGGCTTGGAGCGGCTTGGAACAGTTACGTCCTGAGCTCACGTTGGGACATATCGAGTTACAAGCTGCGTTATTCAGTTCTTGGCATCAGGAATTGGCAGGGCGAGATCGACGTTTGATCTGTGGCAGGCAGGTTGTTGCATTGTTCAGAGGCTGCAAGAGTGTTTCAGGACTGGAGTCGTGTGGGTTCGTTGGGTGCAGTAGTAGTAGACGAAGAAGAAGCTGTAGTAGTAGCAGTAGAAGCAGCAGGAGGAGGAAACAAGTCGGAGGAGGAGGAGGAGGAGGATTAGTAGTAGTAGCAGCAGCAGAAGTAGCAGTAGGAGGAGTAGTAGTAGTAGTAGTAGTAGTAGCAGCAGTGGTGGTAGTAGTAGCAGCAGCGGCAGCAGCAGCAGGAGCAGCAGGAGCAGCAGCTGTTGTTGTTGTTGTTGCTGTTGTCGTTGTTCGGTGGAACTTGCCTCAGCGGTAGGATGGCAGAGCTTCGTGGTTTGACCGAGGCGATGGATGTTCTCCCTCAACATCCTCAAGCCTCACGCCCGAAATCCGAAAATGACGCCCAAAATCCTGAAATCATACCGAGCACTCATGCAGTATGCATCGCTTGCTTGTGGCCCAAGGGTGAAGCAGAGCGGAGGTTGAGAGACAGAGACAGATAGAACACCTTAAAAACCAGTCCTTCATCGACCATGGGCCGGAGCCTGAGATTTTCGTTGCTGTGAGTTCGGAGTGCGAAGCAGAGCCAGCGATTGGCATGATGGACAAGAGGCTGCAAAGTTTTGTTTTGATGTCGCAACTGTATCTTGTCGATGCCCAGAGACACGTTAACGGTAAAACTGATGCTGTGCGTGCGTTGGCTCAGATTGCCTTGAATCCCGAAGTTCATACACCTTCCAAGGAGCTTACAAGTACCTCGAGGAGATGTGGCGCAAGAAGCAATCCGTCGGGGTCCCGATTCCTCGCGCTTCTGATGGTATCGGAATGTTGACCCGGCCCGACCGGCTGTGTGGCCAAAGGGTAGCACATGGAAGATGTTTATGAAAGCTTTGCAAACACTTCGCACAGAATGTATGCGGTATTGCAGAACCTGATCTCGATCTTGGGCCATCCGTGACCACCCTGGGTATGCCCGCTTCCCAGGATGTCATGCGATTCTTCGCCCGTCTCCGCAACTGGGAGTTTCGTCAGCCTCTCGACTGAAGATCTGCAACACCCGATGCTGATGCTCCGACGTCCAACCCAACGGCTGCTGGTACGACTTTCAGACATACCCTTAGATTCACGAAAAGCCTCGCATGCTGCCCGAAGGGCCACCTGCCGAGTCTCGAGCTTTTAATTTCAAGCTGCCTTGCCGCGAAGCTGCATGCCAGGTTGCCAGCGGTGCACCGCTGCACCCGTCCCACGCGTCCGGACAAAGCCCGGAAGATGGGCTACAAGGCTCGCCCAGGTGTATTTAATGGATCCGCATGGAGCTTCTTTGAGCCCTTGGAGGACAAGAGTCTGTGAGTTTTGAGCGACTTCAGAGTTGAACAGCGGTTCTCGTGGAAAGCAGAGGCTTCAGGATGTGGAAAGCGGGGTAATGTGGGCGACAGTTTGCGTGGATTCTCCCGCTCACGCCAGCCAAGCCCAGCACCTGCTTTCAAGAAGCTTGCTTTGCGCATCCTCAGTGCAGGCCAAGCAGGGCTACTGCATCTACCGCGTCCGCGTCAAGCGCGGCGACCGCAAGAAGCGCGTGGCCAAGGCGCAGGGATGTCAGACATTCAAGATTTCAAGATGTTTCAAGGTTCCATCACAACCTGAATCCTTTGATGCAGTCGGTTCGTGGTGTGTGAAATCCGTCGTCGAATGTTGAGGGCAGGAGATTTTGCCATTCCGCAGGTCAACACTAAACCCCGACCCCGCACCTAAAATCCTACACATAGAGTTTCAACCCCATGGCACGAAGCCATATACCCTGAACCTTATCAAGTTTTCTTAGGATTAATGCCCACCCCCCAAACCCCACGCCGAATCAACAAAAGAAGCCATCTAGCGAAAGCCTGATAGGTCGACTGCCCAAGATTTCTTAAAGAAGCCTTCGGATCGTAAGAAAAAAAAGCTTGCAAGCTCTTGGCATTCATCTTGACGCAGGGCATCGTCTACGGAAAGCCCGTGCCCGGTCTCTGTTGTGTGTCAGGATCTTCTTTGCGCATGAGCCTTGAATCCCGAAGTTTCGACCTAGGGACACCAGACCTTCTGTCCTCTTGAGATCGTCAGATCTTGGAATGGCTGTCGTGAGTTACGCACAATCCAGAGTGTGACCGAAACCTCCAGCTCCGAGTTTTTCGTGCATTGGCGATGCAAGTGTATTTAACCAAGGTGAACCAGGGCATCAACAAGTGGAAGGCGGTCCGGAACCTAAGGAACATTGCTGAGGCAGGAAGGGTTCCAAAGGGAGCTCTGCCAAGCTCCGCACCGCAAGCTTTGCAACTTGAGAACATGAAGCCCCAAGCCTTCAACTCTGAACTATGCACCGGATGCTTCGTCACGCCCCACTGGGGGGGGGGGGGACGCGGTGCAATGCACGCAGGAGCGAGTGGGCCGAAAGTGTGGCAGCCTTCGCGTGCCTCAGTCTGTCGAAACAGGAACCTTAGAGCATCCCAGACTTCCAAGAAGCGAGGGTCGTTAAGGACAGTCCTCAGTCCCTGCTCCAGAGCTTGATGATAACTGAGGATTCAGCTGGGTGTTTCCAGGTCGTTGAAGGCATGGGATCAGACTTTTGACTCTGAATGTTTACACGAAAGTAAATCTAGGCCTAGTGGCCTGGTGGGCGCAAGTCTGCGTTTCTGCAGATCACAGCACGGTAGCGGTTGAACCCGTGTGACAAGCCAGGCAAGTCAGACAGATGGAGGAAGTCATCATGCGTCACGTGCCATTCGCCACCTTCGAGCTGAGGTGCTGAATTCCTATTGGGTGGCACAGGCTGGCATGCTGGTAATTAAGTTCACTCGCTAAGTTCCGACAGTAGACCTTCAGCTCCGCCATCAATGTTAGAAGTTCCAGGTTTCGACGTTCAGCCTATGTCATCGAATGTTTTTTGTTCCAGAACAGGCCGTGACTGAAGCTTGAAGGCGTGAGGTGATCACACTTTCAAAGCATGAACAATTTTCCTCCATCGGCATGTTTGCCTGTGCCCCGCTTACCATGTTGAGAGAGGTGCAGGGCAGTGTCATGGCCTTCAGTTGCTGCTCTTGGAATTCTGTTGACACAGAGAGGTTTTACATGCTCACCGTGCCTTCACCCCTTGCTACAGGACGCTGTTCACAAGTGGTTCGAGGTTGTGATGGTGGATCCGTTCCACAAGACCGTTCGAGACGACCCGCGGATCAACTGGACCTGTTTGCCTCACGCTTGTTGCGGTTGGTGTGTGAACCTTAATGGTTGAAGCTGACCCGAGCCGCACTGGAGTACCTGCGAAAACCCTCTCTGGCGACTCGGTCCGACCTATCTCTGACAGCTGTATAGGTCTTTTGTGCCCAAGAGTGGAGCCTTGGCAGGATCTGCAAGCCTGTGATGAAGCACCGNNGCACCGCGAACTGCGAGGCAGACTTTATGAGTTTTCCACACTCACCCCATTACCAACATATCAACAGCCCTAATGCAGATGTCACTACTTGTACTGGTAGCAGTCGAATTGTTGCTCTGCGGACTATGACGAGTGTTAACGTGTCGTCGTCGTGTCTTCTGTGACTTGCAACAAACTGATCATGTCCCTGAGCTGACACATGATTGTTAGCATAGCACTCCTCATCCCAGTCAGGCGACTACGACCGCGAATACTCCACCTCCGCTACCACCACGAAAACCACCGTTATCACCACTACTGAATGAAGTTTTGCTGGTGCTGCTAGTTGCTCTACTCCTACTACGACGACGACGACG